ACATTTAAAACATAAATGATCAAATAACAAATAATTCAAATTAACAATTAATCACATAATTATCCATATTTGATTTATTTATGATTTCTTGAAAAACAATTTACCAATTCAATCAAAATAATTAATAATTATCATATAAGGAAATTAAATATTTTATTAATTGATAAATATCTTCAATTAGATCAAACATATAGTCATATATATCATAAAATCGGATTTGGGTTGATCTAGTATGATTAAGGTAAGTTTCCATAAGATAAATATGAAAAAATCCCGTTTTTGGCTCTTCCTAACGCTCGGACTCGCTGAGTCCATGACTCAGAAACACAAAATTCGAATTTTGCAGTTAGCATTCAAACAATTAAGCATCAATTTAATAGAAACCAATCTAGGCTCTAATACCACTGATGGGCTTTGTACATAAGAACATTCCTATGTGCACATACAAACCATAATTCTTGGATCTAGGTTTCTCTAATTAAACATGCATTGAATCCAAGACTCCTAATGGCTAATTAGGTATAAGAACAATACAAAACCAGAGTTAGAAGCATACCTTGAAACACTTGTTTGATCTTCTTGTTCTTGGAGCTTTAGAGTCACAATTGTCATTCCTCTAATGGCTTACAAACACCAACTAGCAAAGAGAATGATTTGAGAGAGAGGAGAGAGGAGGAAATCGGCCAGGGTATCCTTGCTGTAGAGGAGGTGCTGATTTCCCTATCCCAAGGGGTCTATTTATACTTGTAAGGCTCCTAGGGTTTCACCCTTAAACCCTAATTGGATAACTTAGATTCTAAGCAATCCTAATCCTTACCATAGATAAGCCATGGACGAATTTGAGGCTATCCCAAGCCCTAGAATTCATCCAACCCATATCCTTTAAGGATTTACAGCCTAAAGTGTAACTATCAAACAATTGACAGTTTATACCCTCTTATTTAATTAATCTCTTTAAGTCACAAAATTAATACTAATTAATTTATGACTTAGATTAATCAAATAATATTATTATTATTCATTATATTATTCTCATAATATATTAATAATATCTATTCTCTCATAATAAATCATCCTACCAAGTTGCTATTGTGAAGGCAACCCAAAAGGACCATACACAATCGGGTCAAATACTTGCCTAATATAGTTTCAGCCTTAGACACTATTCCAACAACCTTATCATAAGATTTTCGGCCCATTGGGCCCTTGGAAACACTTACGGCCCAACATAAGATAAAGGGATGGATTTTAGGTCCATTAGGGTCTACTGGAGTGGTTATGGACCAATAAGGTCCATTAGGGTTAGAATGAATCATTCTAGGCCCAAATGGACCAAAATGTTATAGATTTATGGAAGTGGGTCCAATTAGAGCCCATTTAAGGGTCCTAAGCACAAAATAGTTGAATTGAATACTTATTGGTCCATTAGGTCCAATAAGGAATTCCTAGTCCAATATGGATTCAAACTGGGATTCTTATGGTTTTCAGACTCTTTGTTGAATCATGAAAGGTGAATTTAAATGAGCACCGAGTGATATTTACTTAGAGTATATGTTTTACAATAGCTGAATGATTACACAGGAATAGAATTTCCTAGCTAAAATGCTAGTTGTGACAGCCCAACATACATATATGTACGTCCAGCATACTAGGGCGCACCCTAGTATGGCTAGCGTACTTAGATGTATGCCTTTCGTACTACTTATGTTCCTATAATCAACATTTTGCCAGTAGGGCTTCCCATGGCCACTCCTTACCAATCCAAGGACCAAAAATGATATAAATAGAACCCAAGGGATGAATTTGAAGTTACTTGAAAGCTTGGGTGTTACATAATAAGTCAAAATAGTCGAGGGACACCATCCTCACGTCGCGACACCCCTTGTGCTCATGTCTTGAGAACACTCTGATCAGAAGTTCTTAATGAAAATCTTAATCTCTTTTTGGCTAAGAATCCAAATCCCTTATACTATCTTATTTACTCTAGGACATCATAAGAATCATGGCTTTTTAGACATCCATGTCCAATGCATGTCCTAAACACTAGCTAGGGCACAATAAAGGGAAAATGACACCAAATCTCATACAAGAGTCATAAAACTCAACCATGTTCCAGATCTAGCATATATATTACTCAAGGGACACTAAGATCCATAAAGTTGGCAACTTTATCGATTTCAACCACTGCATCATCTTGAATATGAAGGATTAAGCATAAAAAACCTAGATCTAAGCTTATGGACTCATAAAGCAATGAACTTGACACTGAAAAAAGTCCAGAGGGTATGCAAATGCTTGATGGTAAGACTTGAATGCAGAAATAATGGACTAGATGCTCTTCCTCTTCTTCTCCTTGGTTAAAATCACCACAAATGAGCTTCAAGATCAAATATAGATGCTAGGATTTCAGAGGGGAGTGCAAAGAGGTGGTGGAGGTTGAGGATGGGCTAACCTTAGCCCTCACTTCCTTTAAATATGGAAATAAAACCCCTAAAATTAGGGTTTCCTCTCAGGCAGGTCTCACGTCGTGATCCATATGTGCTTATGCTGTAAGCCCAAAAGTGGTGTGTGTACTAATTAATCTTCTCACGACGTGACATACATACCTTACGTTGTGAGTAAGGTTAAATCCTTTGAAGTTTTAAACATGACAATTGCTCACCTGAACTGAATGTTACACCTACCATCTTGTCATCAAAGACGAACAATAAAGGGAAATTTCCGCCAATAACAGAACAACCACTGATTCTACTGATTTCCAAGCTTTTACACTAGGTTGCCAAGAGAATTTTCAACCCAACAACACAACAAATTGCAGAAAGATGTAAAACACCCCAATAACAGTGAGTTGGAACGCTATTATTTTTGTGGAAGAAATGGGCACAATCATGATGGTTGTTTTACGCGAATAGGGTATCCAGAATGGTGGCCAGACAAGGGAAAACGAGAAAAGATAAAGCCCAAGGCTGTTTGTGTAGATGTAGAACAAAGCCTCGTTAGAGGATTGATAGCTGAACAATATTAAAAGTTTGTAAAACACTTTGCTAAAAAAGAAGGAAGCACAAGGAACAACACAAAACCAACAATAAACATGGCTGATAAGATGAAAAACCCTTTTGAAACTCCTGTTGTTATTCCTAATGGAGACAAAATACCAGTAAAGGTAAAAGGTGATTGTACCCTCGTTGGCGGCATAAACATAAAAGGAGTCTTACACATTCTTGATTTTAATTGCAACTTACTTTTAGTCAGTCAACTTACTAACGACCTCCAATGTGTTATAACCTTATTTCCTGATTTTTGTGTAACACAAGGCTTGCATTCAAAGGACTTGATTAGTGCGGGTAAGTGCAAAGGTGGTCTATACCGAATGGGAATTGTGGCGAACGAGAAGAAAGCTATGATGCACACATCAAACATTGATATATGACACAAAAGGTTGGGACACACTTCAGATTCAAAGCTCTGCAAGGTAGATTTTCTTAAGAATGTTTCTTTTAAAATTGGAATAATGTTTACGACTCTTGTATTAAAGCAAAACATACAATGTTACCTTTTCCCTTTAGTTCAATACAAGCCGTCGATTGTTTTAAAATAATACATTGTGATATATGGGGAAAATATCGAACGCCTTCAATATCCGGGTCAGGTTATTTTTTTGATCATAGTGGATGATTGTAGCAAAGTTGTTTGGGTCTTTCTTTTAAAACACAAACATGAAGCTAGTACTTGCTTAGTTAATTTTAATACTATGATTAAAAACTAGTATTCCAAAACCATCAAAAGTTATAATAGATGGGAGTTCACTTCTAATTTTATGATTGATTTTTATGCTAACCAAGGTATTCTGTTAGAAACCGCTTGCCCACACACGCTTCAACAAAATGGGGTTGTGGAACGAAAACATCAACACCTACTCAAGATTGTTAGAGGACATGTTTAAATCAAGTTTGCCAACCAAGTTTTGAGGAGAATGTATCATGATAGCCACCTACATTATCTATCGTCTACATTCCAAGGTTATTGAGAACAAAACTCCGTATAAAATTTTGCTTAACCAAAAACCAGAGTACGATCACATGAAAGTTTTCGGATGTTGGCATATTATAAAAGCAATGAAATGGAAGGAGATAAATTCAAAGTAAGGGGATATCAGGAATATTATTTGGGTCTCCCCAAGGAAATAAATGGTACAAAATTTACGATATTAAACACCAAAGGACTGTGTTGCTATTAGTGATATTGATGTTAATATGTTGGATCCTCACATCAATTTTGTTGATATTTTTACTAGCCCTTTTCCATTAGAGTGACTTTTAGGTATAATATGAATATTCAAAATCCTACAACTCTGACTACGATAATGTGTTTAATGATTTATCGTTTATTTATGTTTTATACATTATATAGGATTCAAAGGGAATTAGTTAACTTTGTATATTTCACATGAACGTATTACATGTAAACCCTTAAGATGCTTTTTCATATTTTGACTCCAAATAACACTAGCATATAAATAGATTTATAGCCCATATTAAAAAACAGCATTCCTAACACGCGCGACACAAATATTACTTTACTTTATTTATATATTAACAAATATATTTATAACCCATATTCTACATGCATTATTCACGATTACAAAAATTATTAACAACAAATTTATCTTCAATAATTCACATCTAGAATAGATACATGATCAAATGCCAATGTACTAAATCAAATACAAAGCTACAATACGCATCACAACATAAATAAAAAAACATTATTGAACGTTTTACAAATTTATAAATATACAACGTAATAAAACAAAAAATGGTTATGCTTATTCTTTTTTGTGATAAAAAATGTTCAAATGCTTTTATATATTTTATGATAAACTCTAAAACAGGATTAACTTCTATGACAAGATATATTTTTTTAATCCGTAGACTAAAAATTTGTCATAAAGCTAACCTTGTGTTAGAATTCATCTTAATTTTTTTATATGCTTAAAAAAATCAAGTCGCCTTCGTAAACGATGTGATCTTCACAGATGCACCCAGCGCCACTTTTCCGATCTCCACCGTGAATGTATCATACCGGAGAAAAAACTCCACCAGCATTATCCTACTGCAAAGCACCACCAGATCCTTCGCCGGACATTGCTTGTTATCCGCCGTGGGATTCTCCGTTTCCCTACCATTTGACCAATACACGTACTTTAGCAACTTCTCTCCATCTCCGATGAATCTATCTGCTATAAACTCCTCTGGATTACTGAACACCACCGGATCCTTAGTAGCCAATGGCTGAAATCCAAAGATTATCTCTCCTTTCTTGATTTCAAACGCTCCGTCGTGGCTCTCCACCACCAGGTCCTCTTTTGCAGATGCGTACTGGTATGGCACCGGTGGCTGGATCCTCAACGCCTCGTAAACAACCGATTTCATCAACGGCATTCTTTCCAAAGCCGAGAAGGTTACGTCACCTTCTTCCTTCACGACAGTTCTGATCTCCTCCGCAAGGCGCTGGTGTAAACTCTCTCCGGCAGATCCTATCCACTTGATCAGACTCGGAAACAAGACTTTCATCCCCCCAAAAGCGTTGAATCCCGCTAGGAAAACCAAGTTATGGCAAGCTTCTTCACGTTTGATTCCAGAGCTCTCAGCTTCATCAAGTAGCGAAGTCGCAGATTCGTAAACTGCTTTATACAACTTCTTGTATCCTGGTTTCGCGATGAAAAATGGTAACGGGATTGTATGGATGATATCGTCGATGAAGTTTGGCAAGTATTTAAGACCTAACGTTCCCAATGGTGCTAGCTGAAGTGCTAACCATGTGTCTGTATATCCTGAACCTTTCGACTTCAGCTTCGTCTCCGAAGGATGAACTCCAGTAAGAAGACGGAAAACGAAGTCAAACGCCATGTTATCGCTATTCGTGTTGAAATCCGCTGTTTTTTCTTCGGAGATCTCGGTTTCCAGGTTTAAGAAAAGATCCGACAAGCTACTCCGGAGATATGGAATGAATTTCTTGTGAGACGAAGCAAGGAAGCTCAGGAAGAAGGATTTGAGTGCATGGTGGGTAGGTTCAGACGGATCAAGGAACGCACAAACACGATAACCACCGAAGAAGGCGGTTGACGGCATGTAAGTGCCGTCGAGAAGATCCTTCTTTTCGACTTTGGAGGTGTCAAAGAGAATTGGGAAGCTTTTGGAATCAAGAACAGCGACGACTTTGGAGTTGGAAGAGATGAAGGGGCCTGGTGGCATGTTTGTACGGAAGACAGTGGATTTGTATTTTGCGATTCGGGTTCTGAAGAATTCATCTTCACCTTGGTTGTAAAAGTAATCGTATCTATCCTTAATGGGACCAAAGAATGGTAAGCCATAATCGCCGGGGATATCTCGTAATGGGAGGTTTTCAGGCGCCATGGATTGGTTGAATGATGAAGAAGTCATGACAAAAGACTGCGTCTTGAATATAAAGTTTAGAACGTGAGAAATAGAGTAGAATGGTCGTTAATATATAGAGAATTAGAGATACTGGTTCGATTTTTTAGAACTAAACGGATTTGTATTACGTGGACAAAGAAATTATAAATGGAGTTAGCGTGAATCATTATTGACTCGCCTATTCAGACGCTAATGTATGTATAATATATAAAACTGGATTTGACATTTTCATTTTGGGAATATAAGATTATTGATCTTAGCTGTTTAAATAAGATTCTTGATGTTGTGACCACGTTGCCTATAACGATGGTAGCTGTAATCTCTCATTCATCTAAATCATTAAGATTTGATTTACTTGGGACTAGCCATTTAGCAAAGTAGGTGTTTCTAACAAAAAGAAGTTTCGAATTCAATCTCAGATATATACTAATTAACCGTTTTAAAATATATAAGAAAATTGATTTAGTCATACTGTTTATTGATATATCTCGAGGTCAACATGTTGTATATTTACGTTATCTTGTTTTGAATGTAAACTTTTATAAAATGTATTTAAGCTTTTAAGTTTTAAGTTATAGCCTAACGAGTAATGTTGATGTGAATACTTTTAAACTTTTCAACTTAACATGTATTCAATGAATCTCGTACGAAAATGCATGCATTGTTATTAAATAATAAAATTATTATTATTATTACTATAATTAGAGTAATAATAATAGCAATATCTGTATTATATAACATATATATATTAAAAGATTCAGCATTACAAGCATAAAAGAAGATTCAGCCTAGTAAGGCGGCTGTATTCGTTTGTTGAGGTTTGTTGTTCGAAACCTCTTGTCTTAATATTTCACGCATGTTTTGTTTTTACAAATAAGTCAAGGATATATGAAGTGTTATTGCCTCCTCAGCATTCGTGTCAGCAAAAACGTACAATCAGCAGTGCCTATCTTAAGAGTCATTGCCACCTCAAGGTTCTTGTCAGCAAAAACATACAGTTAGCGCCTATATTTCATGTTGTTTCTTCTTTTTTCAAATAAGTCAAGGATATGTGAAGAGTCATTGCCACCTCAGCGTTCTTGTCAGCAAAAACGTACAATCAACGCCTATGTATCACCCCGTCTGTTCTAGTCACCGGCAAGTTACCGGAAAACCTCTTAGAAGGGCAAAAGTGCAAAAATTAAAGAAAGCATTCAGCTTTAATGAATACCTAAAAGGGTAAAACCAAACATTTTTTGAAAACTTAAGGTCTTTTGTGTCATTAACACTTTATTTATTGATAGACTTTTCCTTTTATCAAGGTCGACTAATAAGGCTTTGGAGTATGGGAGGATTCTCATGCGTGACAAGTTGATATGACTGACACGTCTGCTGGTGAACACCGCCTTAGTGGGGGCGAGTAGGTGTGGTGTGGAGTTGGGCAGTTTCACGTGTGTTCACGAGAGATTTAATTGGCTAAAACTTTTTTTTTTTTGACCGTTTCACTTGATCGTTGGTTTATATACAGGGCCGGCCCAAATGGTAAAAGGCACCATATTTATACATGTTTTTGGGTTATATCAGTGGCACCCAAATTTTTTTAAGCCTTACGTACTAGTTTGGGCCTAATATTATCAGTTATCAAGCGCCTATCCAAATCCAATTGAAAAGGCGGGAGTAAGCGTGCGGCGTGCCTACCAATGTTTTAAAAATCGGTTTGAACCGGTCGGTCGAACCTGTTGGACAGGGAACCGGAGAAAAGAGTGGTTTAACTATCACCGGTTTTATGTCGATTTCTATATCGGATTAAATTGGCCGGTTTTTAGAAAAACTCGGTTGAACCGGTCAAAGTGAATAAAAACACATGGAAAGAACCATTTGAATAAAAACTTTGGTGATTTTTTTAAATGTATTTAGTTTTCTCTAAATAAAACATATGGTAAATGTTATAAAGTTTTTTTTTTTAATGTGTTTATATTCATCTGAAACTATATCTATTTTTGGTATTATGTTTTATTTTATTTTTAACGTATATGGATTGATGTAAAACACTCAAACTTATGGTTATATGTTATTTTAATGTATTTGGATTAATCTACAAATTATTTTTATGTATATTTCAAACGTTTGAACTAGTAAACGTCAAATTCATAATTTATATATGTATATATGTGTAGGAAAATAGGAAAAATAATGAAAATTATAAAAACCTGCTAACCCGACGGTCGAACTGGTTAAACCGTTTGAACCGTAAATTGGTAAGCATACCGGTTTGTGACATCCTCAATTTCACGGCAAGAATAGACCGATTTGTTGATGCATTGTTTTTAAAATCAGAGTGATCTTTTAAAGGAAACAGTTGCGGAATTTGTTCCCAAAATATGATAAAGATTTATCAAAACATTTATTTAAAGAAATGTATTTTCATTATATAACAAAATCTCGGGATGTCATGTTCTGATACAGACACATAAGCATAACATAACTTATATTATTTACACTAAAGATTTTACATATCCTTTAATCTCTCCGTTAAATATATATTCGTATCGATACCTATGATACAAAGAAAACTGAGTGGGTCAGGCTTGGGAGCCTGGTGAGCATATAGGGTTTTCAACCCACAATAATATAATTATTATATTCAATTATCAAACAATCAATTCAAATACTTACCCCCATTATCTCCATTTATTTCTTAAAGATTTATCCTAAGAACTAATTACCCTTCTCCCATTCATTCCTAAGGATTGCCCTAAGGAACTGACACAAAGTCTAGTGCTGCCAAGGTTCTTAGATTACCTCTGGTGAACACACAATTCACAATAATTAATGAACACCTAGTTCAAGAACACCTAATGAACACTTAGTTCCAATATTACCCAATGAACACCTAGTTCACAAACACTAAATGAACACTTAACTCAAATATTACCCAATGAACACCTAGTTCACAAACACCAAATGAACACTTAGCTCAAATATTACCCAATGAACACCTAGTTCACAACCACTTAATAAACACTTAGTTTAAATATCCCTGGCGAACACTTAGTTCAAATATCCCTGGTGAACTCAATCACCTAAGGAACACAGAGTACGAAAGCTCCAAGTTCAAACCACGTGATAATAATGTATATCTCGATCCTACAAAACCACTAATATTATTAACACATATAAATCATATTTCTAAAACAATCTATCCCATCCCGTCGATCCCCACATACTGACCCTATACAATGATCTTACGAGATCTTAGCCTAATGAATCGATATGAACAACAACTAACGAAGCTGCTTCGGAAATTCCCTGGTAGCAAACGCGGATCAGTAAATACATCAAATGAGGGGAATGGAATAAGTTTCACCACGAACCTTCTTCCGTAAAAGAAAGAACGACAAGACATTTCAAGTCAGGGGTAGTTATCTAGATAACAATGCCTGGGTGTGGTCCGACTATTATGAGGTATTATACCCCCAGACTCTTCCTATCCCAGCACCGAACTTTGCCTAGCAGTGGCCTGAATACATGAGGTATTTAACCCCCAGACGCACCGTATCCACCAATATAACACCAGACTACCTAGCAGTGGTCTATTACCGACACACTTTACTAAGCAGTCTACGAAGTTCCCTTAATTACTTCGTGAAAGAAAACGCTGACATATGAAGCTCGGTCGATCACCTCATAAAAGAAACGCTGACTCTAAAGCTCTCTCAAAATAAAAGTATGGGGAAATACTACTAGAGTACTCCCGTACGCTCCCGTAACCGACACATAAAATTGTCAAAAAGACTTTGTACATGATAGTACTTCTGGCACATTATAGTACTTTGGTATGCGAAAGAATCGTACCCGAGAACATAATAGTACCCTGGCACAAGCAGCACCCCAGACACAGAGCTTTGAAAAAAACTTCATACATAAAATGTACTTCTGTACGTAGGACGTACTCCACCGATCATCAATCTCACAACACACGTACTCTTAATAAGAGGCTACCCAATGTCCAAACTTAATTGGACTAAACATCCCTATTTAAGCCTTAACCCATCACTAGGCAAGCCTACAATGCTTATAATCAATTTTCGATATTAACTCTATTTAGGCAATGCTAACTAGTGTATACTTAACACTGAGTTTTGGATAATAATATCATATATTCACGTCTTAGCACATATTGAACCATAACTGATTCGCACGTTGTATATCATCAAATATATCTAACCCGTATTTTGGACAATAACAAATACTTTACATATATATCTATATTTCATACTTTAATCAATACACGTATAAAAATCACGTTCCTAAAAGGGACTATACGCATGATACCTCATCGTATGAACACATAATTCAAAAATACATAATCCGTACTCCCGAATCTAAAATTTACCTCCTTACCTAATTCATATTCCCAGATCTAAAACTAACCTCTTGATTTGATCCATACTCTCGGATCTAAAACTAACCTCCTGACTTGATCTATACTCTCGGATCTAAAACATGTTTATCTCTTTATCCTTTTATCTCATGGTCCAACCCACCTTTTATCACCTACCAACAACCTCATCTACTCATGTTCTACCCAACATATTTTTAGATACAAAATACATATATAGTATAACTCATTAAAACTTATATAATTCATCAATTCCACAATCATCTCAAATAAACAACAATATATTATACACATAGCACGTATTTCATAGCAAATACTTAATTTTTATGTGTTAGAAGAAAGTGACCACACACTCACTTTATTTAGAAGATGACCGGACAACACTACGACATATAGAAGTAGTATTCTTTGGTAGATCTGGAAGATCTTCACAAAAATTGGCTTTTCGCGGGTAGAGCTTCGGCTCGGGAATCTCACTTCTCAGGATCTTTGGGGCTTCGGGACTTGTTTCGGGGCTTAGGAATGATACCGGGGCTTCGGGATATTTCTTGCACGAAAAACGATGCAAAAACGCGAGAGAAAGGGAAGAAATGAGCAAAGAACTCGACTGTACTCGACTTCCTTT